AATAGATGGAGAGATAGTCCATGTTTGTGAGTAAAAGGAATCAGTTTTGTCAAGATGTCAGTTCTTCTCAACTTGATCTGTAGGTTTAATGCAATTCCAATAAAAATTCCAGAAAATTATTTCATGGATATTGACAAACTAATTCTAACATTTTATAGAGAGAGGCAAAAGATCCAGAATAGCCAACACAATATTGAAGAAAAAGAACAAAGCTGGAGGACTGACACTAGTCAACTTCAAAATTTACCTTAAATATACAGAAATAAAGATAGTGTAGTACTGGTGAAAATAGACAGATCAATGGAACAGAATACAAAACCCAGAAATAGACCCACAAAAAGATAGCCAACTGATCTTTGGTAAAGGAGCAAAGGCAATATGATGAAGTAAAGATAGTCTTTTCAATAAATGTTGCTGGAAAAAAATGGACAACCACATGCAAAAAAGTGAATCTAGACACAGACCTTATACCCTTCACCAAAAAAATGAACTCAAAATGGATCACAGACCTAAAACTATAAAACTACTAGAGGATAATATAGGGGAAAATCTAAATGACCTTGGGTTTTGTGATTACTTGAAACGACATGAAGTTATGATCCATGAAAAAAAAAATTGATAAAATGGACATCATTGAAATAAAAAATGTTCTTCTACAAAAGACACTGTCAAGAAAATGAAAAGATAAGCCAGAGACTTAGAGAAACCATGTTGAAAGATATTTCTGGTAAAGGTCTGTCCTCCAAATTACACAAAACAACAACAACCACCAAAAAACAAAAAACCTCTTAAAACTCAACAATAGGATAACAAACAACCCAGTTTAAAAAATATAAGCTAAAGACCTTAATAGACACCTCACCAAAGAATATATACAGATGACAAATAAGCATATGAAAAGATACTCAATATTATATGCTACCAGGGGCTGCAAATTAAATCAACAAGGAGATACCACTGCTCATCATAGAATGGTCATACTTTTTAAAAATGAAGAATCTATAGTTTCTTACAAAACAAAGTATCTTGCCATATAAGCCAGTAGGCACATTCCTGGGTATTTACCCTATTGAGTTGAAAACTTACATCCACACAAAAACCTGCACATAAATGTTTATAGGAGCATTACTCAAAATTATCAAAGACTGGAAACAACCATAACATCCAACAGTATAAACAAACATACAATGAAATATCATCCAGCAATAAAACAAAATGAGCTACTAAGTCACAAAAGGAAATGGAGAAAACATAACTGCATATTACTAAGAGAAAGAAGCTGATTCCAACTATATAACATTCTGGAAAATGCAAAACTATGGAGACTGTAAAAAGATGGGTAGTTACTAGAGGTTAAGAGGGAGAGAGCTATAAATCTAATCTGTTTACTATAATGGTGACTACATGTCATTATACATTTGTTCAAACCCATAGAAAGTACAGCACCAAGAGTGAATCACAATGTCAACCATGCACTTTGAGTGATAATGCTATGTAATGTAGCTTTTCCAATTTTAACAAATTTATTGGTGGGGGTGTTGATAAAACCTATGCACGTAGTGGGGCAGGAGGTATCTGAGATATCTCTTCATCTTCCTCTCAATTTAGCTATAAACCTAAAACTGCCCAAAAGAAAAAGTCTTTATTATTTTGGTGGTCTCACTGGCTGTTCTGGGAAAAAGATAGCACTGTTAGGTGGGAACAGTTTGAATGAGTTTGGAGATTTCCTAAAGTTTTCATAAAATATGCACAGTCTAGGTGGCCTGCTAAGAACCTGGCCTCACAGCAGGAGGTAAGCAGCAGGGGAGGGAATAAAGCTTCATCTGTATTTACAGTCACTTCCCATCACCTGCATTACTGCCTGAGCTCCATCTTCTGTCAGATCAGTGGTGGCATTCGATTCTCATAGGAGCATGAACCCTATTGTGAAGGGTGTATGAGAGGGATCTAGGTTGTGTGTTCCTTATGAGAATCTAATGCCTGATGATTTGAGGTGGAGCTGATTTGAGGCAGTGATGCTAGCACCATCACCCCCAGATGGGACTGTCTAGTTGCAGGAAAACAAGCTCAGAGATCCCACTGATTCTCCATTATTATGAGTTGTATAAATACTTGATTATATATTAAAATGTAATAATAACATAAGTACACAATAAATGGAATGCACTTGAATCATTTCGAAACCATCCCTATCCCTACCCCATGAAACCAGTTCCTGATGCCAAAAAGATTGGGGACCACTGGTCTAGGTATTCTGTCCCAAAGTTGAATAAGACTACACATGCACCATTGCCACTTCTTCTGCGTCTTGCACATTCTAATGGATTTAACTTGTGTGAATTTCTAGGGCTCAACATTTTCTCTTTTTATCCAAAGGAGTACTTCTCACTTTAAGTCCTTTGACGATGAGTGTCTATCTTAGAGGACCCTGTGGGGAAAACACATGCCTGGTTCCCTTCTTCTATACCCCAGCTCAGAGATGATCAGTCATACTTTCTGACTGAGTGATCCATATCTCTACTTTCACATTCAAGTTCATTTGCTTGAAATTGTGCTCTATTTGAGGTGATAAACGAATACGTCTTGGATATCACATGATGTGGTATCTGGTGGTCCTGGATTGCCACAGATGGGATATTGGCCTTAGGTTAAAAACAATGATTAAGAAGAGTCCCATTTATCACTCTCCAGAGTCCACTAAATACCAGACCCCCATAAAGACAGCAGTCATCAGTTAAATAAATGAACCATAAAGTTGAGAACAGATGTATGAAAACAGCCATCCTCTCCTAATTTACTGACCCTTGGTAGACGTTAGTTTGGTAATGGTCTTTATTGGCAGCAAGCAGTCTGCCTGCTGCTTAGAAGAGGTGGCTCCTTTTATACTTTCAGAAACAGCCCTACCCCTTGACCTCCCACGAAGGGATTCTAGGGCTAAACAAATGACTCTCGTGGTGAACTCTGTGTTTCCCTCTTAACTCAGGTGTTCACAAAAAGTTGATAAACCATCTTACCAGCCATAAGGTTAGTCTCATTTACCTGGAGTAAAATCTGGCAGTACATGGGCCCAGCCTGTGTTTTCATGTATTGGTGACCCTTAAGGTATTTAGAGGTTTCCAGGGTGGCTCCCCTTTCTCTTATGGGCTTTGATAAGATACATTTTTATTAACACAGGTAGTTCTTTCTACCAGAAGGTGCATGGTAGAAATTAACTTTGGCCCCTCCTGAGCATTTGGAGGGGTGGGGTTCCAAATATAAGATTTTTAAAGATTAAAAGATATTTTGATGTTCAAAAGTGATTAAAACTGCTGCTTACTTGCAAAGTGAAAAGCAGAGCATTTGTTTTGGTTTGGTTTGGTTTTACTTTTGGTTTCCCATTCTAAATCTCCTTTATTATTCTGCATGTCCAGAGATGAAACTCCTTTACCAGAAGAGACAACCAAATTGAGTCTGTGTATCGGAGGAATAAAGCAGAGATGAGAGATGGGAGTGGGGAAGAAGATTCAGTGATCTACAGTTCAGGCCTCAGTTCACAAGGGCCAAATTTTCTGATGCTAACCAGTGATACTAAAGGGTTGGTCCATGTGTGAGCTGTGACTGCCTTCATCACAAGGAAAAGACACAGCTTGACTCTGCCTATGGAGAAAGAAGAGGAGGAGAAGTAGGGTCAGGGAGAAAAGAAGAAACGTGGTGGTTGTAATAGTTGTGGAGGTAGTCTTAATAGTTAGCTGGGGAGAGGGTGGAGTGGATTTATTATAAGGAGCCTAGAGCATACATAGCATAGAACTGAAGAGCAGAAAATCATCAAGCCTCCAAAAGAGACTAGACAGGAAACCAAAAGAACCCAGGAAGTGTGCTCTTACCAGGCTTCTTTGCTTCACACCTTCTGGGTTCTGCCCTCAGAACCTCATTTTGAAGACTGGCTTTCCACTTTGTCCACATGACAGGAAATGACTACATTGTGGTTCCAGCTCACTATAGTGCCTGTTATTCTGAGAGTAGCCTAGACTTTTAACACCAATTTCAAATTTCCAAAGGAGAGAATTGGATCGGTCCTGCTTGAAACAGCAGTCTAATGAGGTCAAGTGGCTGAGAGTTATGGAATATAAACACAGTTCCCAGGAGACCACCCCTCTGGGCAAAGGGGGATGGTGAAGTGATCAGATGAGCAGGGAAGAAACCCCAAAAATGGTCTTCTAAAACTCATCACTGTTCCTCCACATAATGCAAAAATTAGTCTCTGGGTATTATCAATCTGTGTTGCTGGATTTTTGGTTTTTGTTGTTTTGATTTGTTTTAGTTTGGTTTGAATCAATAATTTGCCTGGAAAATGTACTAAACATTCATACTTTACTTGTTCTCTCATTCGAAGCAGCACATTATACTCATTTTTCTTGGTAACAAGAATTTGGGGTTTTGCAAAGAGAAAATGGAGATGAAAAATTTGTTTTAGCCCTTCAAATCTAGATGTAAAAATGTTTGAAGAGTGTTATGCTTACACCATCCTCAGGGAAAAGAAACAAGTCAACTATATATTTTTTTCCATAAGTATAAAAAAGATGTTTACATTAAAAGGGAAGAGATGATTTGGATTGTAACTAAGAAAATAATTTTAGGTGTTTAAGACTATTTCATAAATGACTTTTCACTATAAGGTCTAGCAAACTTCAAAATATTATTCCCATCAATTTATACCCTTGTTCACTTTTTCTTTCCCAATTTTATTTATGGCTTCTCCTGAAAAGAATCACAGTGTGAGAGGCTGACTCACAGCATGCATCCCCCTCCCTCCCAGGATCTTATTCTAAATGCAGGAGAGAGCAACATGGCAGGAAATCATTATGATCCAGCAGCTACAAGGAACTGGGTTCAAAGGCCATGCTGCAACGAGCTGGGTGTATTGGAATCCATTCTAGGGTTTTACCTTTCTTTGAAATAGCTTCTATTTCCTAATGCCTGTGAGATCTGAATAGCCTTTGTTTTGCCCCATTTGCCTCCAGGCTTAGTGCAGATATGAATGCTGATGTGGTGTGTCACACTCTGAAGTTCTGTAAACAAGAAACTGGCCAACCTTTGTGTCATCTCTACCCAGTTCCCAAGGTGAGTGGGTTTTCATTCTGAATGACAGGCAAGCCCTTTGGAAATGTTAGAAGAGGAGGCTCAGCTTCACTGGCTCAATAGTTTGGGGACAGAGTGGCCTGACAACATTTTCAATTATACCTCATGAAATAATATTCCTAAGTTTCAGCCTAGGTTTCCCCGCCTCCCTGCTCCCAATGAAAGAATGTCTTTGCTGTCCAAGTACTATAGACTGTAATTCTGAGCTGGGTTGGCAGTAAGAAATCTGATCAACCAAAGAGAAACAGAGATTTAAAACCCTCTGTTATCCAAGGTTGGGGGCTCACACCTGTAATCCCAGCACTTTGGAAGGAAGAGGCAAGAGGATTGCCTGAGCCCAGGGGTTCGAGACCAGTCTGGGCAATTTAGTGAGTCTTCCTCTCTACACCAGGTGTGGTGGTGCATGCCTGTGGTTCCAGCTACTTGGAAGGCTGAGGTGGAAGGATCACCTGAGTCTAGCAGGTTGAGGCTGCAGTAGATGTGATCATGCGACTGCACTCCAGACTAAGCTACAGAGTAAGACTCTGACTAAAAAAGCAAAAAACAAATCCTTCTGTTAAATCAAGCCTGTTTGCCCATGATTTTACTGGTGTAAGCACTGAAAGTCCCACATCCTGGGAAATCCTGGGCAGTTGGTCATCCTCTGAGCTTTATTGTTCTTACCCATAAAATGGATTAAAATAAAATACCTCCCACATTGGTTTATTATGGGAAATAGGTGAGCTAATACATATAAAATGCTTAGCACAATACCTGCTACATTAAAAATGTTTGTAAATGCAACCCCCTCGGGTCCCCCCCTGTTCTGGGAGCTTTTCTGTTCTCTCAATAAATCCTGCTTTAAAATAAATAAATAAATAAATTTTAAAAGTGTTAGTAAAAATAATAGCTATTTGTATACCTAACCCTGAATTGTACCCCACATCTTTAAAATAAAAAAATAGGCCAGACTCGGTGTCTCAGCCTATAATCCCAGCACTTTGGGAGGCTGAGTAGAGTGGATTGCCTGGACTTGCGGGTTCGAGATCAGCCCAGGAAACTTGGTGAGACCTCATCTCTACAATAAATTAAAAAATTAGCTGGACATGGTAGCATGCATCTGTAGCTCCGGCTACTCAGAAGGCTGAGGTGCAAGGATCGCCTGAGCCCAGCAAATGGATGCTGGAGTGACCGTGAGTGTGCAGTGGCAACCCAGCCTGGGTGACGGAGTGAGACTCCAATTCAAAAAAAAAAACCCAAAATTACAAAATTAAAAAATAAAAAACAAAGCAAAACAAAATAATAGTTAATATAATTATTGATATCATTATTACTTAGATGTTAGCTGTTCAGAATACCCTGTATGCATTATATCATTTTGTCCAACTTTTTTTTTTATTTTAAAGATGTGGGCTACAATTCAGGGTTAGGTATACAAATGTTCATTATGCAGGTACCCTTGTTGATGAGGTGTGCCCCTCCCTCCCCGGCACATTTTGTGCAACTTCTAACTTTAATTTTTGAGAGACAAAGATGCAAATGTTGACACAATTCCCTCCCCACACTCTGAATGAGAGTATATTAAATCCAGTTAGGACTCACAATATTGATTTTCAGAAGGCTCCTGTTTAAAAACACTATGCCTTCTTTCTCAGAACTGCAGTCTTTCTGTGTATACACAATAGTTTTCTACATTAATTGTAATTTCTTTTTTATTCGTATAAAATGGAGTAAATTTTACTACTTTGTGGCCTAACCGAGGAACATGATTTTGCTGACTGACAGTATTAAATATCATAAGCCTGTCTCATGTTTATTTCACATGTATATTTCATGCTTCCTTGGTCATTGACCAATCAACAATTAAATTTCTCCTAATTCCACCCCAAGAGTTGTGGGCTCTGCTGGTTTCTAGAAGAGTTAGTAAATTTTAATTTTTTTTTAAAAAAACTTTTCACGTGTTCAAATAGCATGTGAATATTGTATCATAATATTTGCTGTTAGATGCTGTAAAGAGCAAATGTGTCTCTGTGTAGGATGGCAAGTGATATGGATTTTTGTGATTTCCTTAAATAACAGTATGTCATATGTACATTACACCCACAGCTATACATAGTCACAAAAAGTTCAACTTTGAACTTCCCCCACTTAAAACACCGTTCTTTATGTTTATACTTTCTGGAGTTTATACCTGAAATTTCATCTCCTTGTCTTCCCATCCCCATCCCAGCCCCCTTTTCCATTCCCAATTCTGCAGCATTTTGACTGTCCTCTTTGGCTGGGAGAGAATTGGAGGATTTCATGCCGAAACATTGGCTTCCACCCAGATAGCTGCTCCGTGCCACTAGACAGCCTGCGACTGCTCCCTGGGCAACTCCCTGCACATTTCTCTGGGTGGCTGTTCTAGGCCTTCACCTTCCACCTCAGGTCCCTCTCTCGAAACCCAGAAAAGAGGGAGAGTCAGTATACCCTTGAATAGCTAGTCTCTTCTGCCTCTGAGGTTTCCTTGAAGAACAATAACTGACATTTACTGAGCGCATGCTTGTGATAGGTACCCGGTGCCAAAGCTCACACTTTATGTTGTTTCATTCCTAAACAGTTCTAGGATGGAGGTACCTTATGGCCCCTTTTTACGGCGGAGGGTACTGAGGGCTAAAGAGGCGATGTGATTTGCTGAAAGTCGCTCCCCAAAGAAAGAACAGAACTGGGATTCACATCCTTGCTGTTCTGTTTAGAGAGATTGGTTGGTTTCTGTCAGTGTTTCTGAAACTCCCCTGGGATATCTCTTCTCAAGGGTCAACTGAAATCCCACTCCCAGAAGCAAAGGATGGTAATGTGTTGGTTGTTTTCCCTTTAATTGTTAAAATAAATTATGTTGTATTAATACTCTCTTTGGGAGTTATGCTAACATATATACAATTTTGTACCCTCCTTCCCCTACCCCGTAACATTACATTTTGAGCTTACTTTTTAGTAAAAGGCAAAAGATTTATGTGATCTGAAGAGAAATCAGAGTATAAGCTTATATTTTTAAAAATTATACACAGCAGCCCTGTTTTTCATTTTCATGGCATACAAATCACTCCTGCATAGCATATGTGAGTGATAGGCAGATAATTCTAGTGAGTGGTAGATTCACCCTAGGAAAGGCAGGTAAAGCTACAGATGTAGGTGTAGATGTAGGTGTAGGTCCAGCCCACCAGAAGACCATCTCCCCACTGATTGGAGGAAATGAGGTCCCTCTGGGCCAGAGAGCTCCCAGGGCAGAAGCAAAGAGTCTAGCTTCAGTAGGACCAAAAGTAAAAGATGAAATTGCATCTGGGGAACACCGTGAACCACCTGTTTATGATCTACAGCCCACCTGAAATTCCAGGCCCACTTCTTGCTGATTCTGTAGCCATGTCTCCTTACCACTATCTACTACATGCTAAAAAATACACACACACACACACAAACAGACAAATTCCATCCATAATTAATCAAAGCAAGAGAAACCCACAATTTTCAACTGATACAATGAGGAGTGGAGGAGGAGATGGGGAGGGAGAAGAGGAGGAAGCAGGAAGGGAACAGGAAGAGGGAGGGAGGGAGAAGAGGAGGGAGGGAAGGAAAAAGATCGCAGGCCTCATTGCAAAGACCACCCAGACAATTTTGTGTTACCAATTTGGGGGAATTATTGTCACCACTTCTCCTCTCAGGAGCATCCTGAAGCTTCCTCAGCTCTATGCTCCTCCCTCCTGGCTTCTCTAACCCTGAGATTCCCCCAGCAGAACTTGTAGCTTTGAATAGTCCCTCTTCCTATCCACGGCTGTGCTGAAGGGACATGCTGCATTTACTAGCATGTCAAAGGCATGCTCAAAACATACTTCAACCACTTCGGTCCACACTGAAAGAGAATTCTATTCAGAATGTTAACCCTGTGTGGAGATGGGTTCTCCTTAACTCCCTGGGACCTCCAACCCACTTAAACAGCTGAGGAGAGACCTGCTACCTTAGGAAAGCACCTCAGACGTTGAAACGGCTTTTCCTAGGGTGAATCGGTTTCTGCAGAAACCAGAAGCTCTGTGATGCTGAGTGTGTGGGAGTGTGTGTTTGCACAGGGAATCGTATTCCCGTGGAATCCAAACCACTAGGAAGCTGAAATAAATGGGTTTGGGGAAAAAGCAAGTTTGCATTCTTTTTATGAGAGAGTGACACATAACAGATTCTTGTTTGAGAAATAAACACGCTGACCTCAGTAATTTACACTTATTTTTTAAATGTTAGGTGTCAAATAAAATACCTGGCATCTCTTTTAATAGACGGTTTGGGTGGTACGGTTTAGGAAAAGAATCACAGATTGGACATGTTCTGAGATTCCTTAATCACAGCATTTCATTCTGTACAATCAATAGTATCCTTCCATTCCCAACACTGCGTTTACCCCCATGCACTCACAGTGAGCATTCAGATGTGCTGTCAGGTCTTCCTCAAACCCTATTATTCTTGATAATTTTTTTTATTCTGTAATAATTTTAGGTTACAAAAAGTTGCCAGGATACGCCCTTCACCCAAATTCAGGCCTCCCCCCCCCCAGTGTTAACATCTTAACATTAATCAAAACTAAAGAAACCCATATTACATTACTAGTAACTAAACTTCAGGCTTCATTTAAATTCCACCAGTCTAGGCTGGGCTCGGTGACTCAGCCTGTAATCCCAGCACTTTGGGAGGCCAAGGCAAGTGGATTGCCTGAGCTCGCAGGTTTGAGACTAGCCCGGGCAACTTGGCAGGACTGCATCTCTACAATAAAATAAAAAATAGCCGGGCATGGTAGCGCACGTCTATAGTTCCGGCTACTTGGAAGGTTGAGGCAGAAGGCTCGCTGGAGCCCAGAAGGTCGACACTGGGGTGGCCGTGAGCATGCGTGCCACTAAGACTCCAACTCAAAAATAAAAATAAAAAATAAATTCCACCAATCTCTCCATTTATGTCCTTTTTCTGCTCCAGAACCTAATCCGGAA